GATTGAAGTCTCCCATGAGAACCAGGGCCTGCGATCTAGTGACTTCCGTTAGTTGCCGGAAGAAAGCCTCATCCACCTCATCCCCTTGGTCTGGTGGTCTATAGCAGACTCCCACCACGACATCACCCTTGTTGCTCACACTTCTAAACTTAATCCAGAGACTCTCAGGTTTTTCTGCAATTTCATTCTGGCGCTCTGAGCAGTCATACTGCTTTCTTACATACAGTGCAACTCCCCCACCTTTTCTGCCCTGCCTGTCCTTCCTGAACAGTACTCCTGTCACGTGAGTTATCCCACCAAGTCTCTGTTATTCCAATCACATCATAATTCCTTTACTGTGCCAGGACTTCCAGTTCTCCCTGCTTGTTTCCCAGGCTTCTTGTATTTGTGTATAGGCACTTAAGATAACTCACTGATCGTCTTGCTTTCTCAGCATGAGGCAGGAGTCCTCCCATCTTGGACTCTCCTGCATTTGCTTCCTCCTGGAGTCCCACTTCCCCCTTACCTCAGGGCTTTGGTCTCCTTCCCCCAGTGAACCTAGTTTAAAGCCCTCCTCAGTAGATTAGCCAGCCTGCTTGCGAAGATGCTCTTCCCTCTCTTCATTAGGTGCAAGCTGTCTCTTCCTAGCAATCCTCCTTCTTGGTACACGATCCCATGGTCAAAGAATCTAAAGCCTTCTCTCCGACACCACCTGTGTAGCCATTCATTGACTTCCATGATTCGACGGTCTCTACCTGGGCCTTTTCCTTCCACAGGGAGGATGGACAAGAACACCACTTGTGCCTCCAAACTCCTTTATCCTTCTTCCCAGAGCCACGTAGTCTGCAGTGATCCGCTCAAGGTCATTCTTGGCAGTATCATTGGTGCCCACATGGAGAAGCAGGAAGGGGTAGCGATCCGAGGGCTTGATGAGTCTTGGCAGTCTGTCTGTCACATCATGAATCCTAGCTCCTGGCAAGCAGCACACTTCTTGGTTTTCCCGGTCGGGACGGCAGATAGATGACTCAGTCCTCTTTAGGAAGGAGTCCCTGACCACCACCACCCACCTCCTTCTCCTGGGAGTGGTGGTCATGAAGTCCCCATCCCTAGGACAGTGCATCTCATGCCTTCCAATCGGTGGAGTTTCCTTCTGCTGATAACAGAGAAGCACAGGATGTTGTAGCAAACAGAGCCACATAGGATATGTCTACATTGCAATGTAAGCCCAGGCTCAAATTTAGGCAAACCCCCCTTCTGTCTATACACAGATCTCACAGACTTGGGCTTGGTCCTAGGATCCTGTGGGGCTGGAGGGTTCAGGTCAGAATCAAGCTGAGATCCAGGGTTCAAGCCCTGTTGCTTTGCAGGATAGAAGAAACCTACCTGACTCAGATCCTGGGTGGCTGCCAAAAGTATCCCACAATCCCTTGGGCCATCAGCTCTGGGAAGATGGAAGCAGCCCACCTTGATTTAGTGCAGCAGCCCAGTGAGTCAGTGTTTAACCCCTCCATTTGTCTTCTTAACACCATGCTGCAAACACGCCCTCAGAGAGCCTTCTGTGTTTGCAGTGGAGACTGAACAGAAGTCTTTTGCAGAGTGTGCTGCTTCATGGTCATGGGAGCACAGACAGATTTTGGTAAATCTCTGATGTGAGGCCAGAAAACAGTTGACTTTACTAAAATTACTAGGAATGACCCTGCATATCAGAAAATAGCAAAGAATCTTGCAGTGTTGCAAATTTACTGGACTGGTGACCAGTGCAAGGAGTGTATTAAGTGGCTCAGGACTGAGTCCAAGAAGACCAGGGACCAGAACTGCACCTTGGGCAACTTACTGACATGCCCGTTTTATGATGAGTTTGGCAATGGTGGTGCATGATATAGCTGGGATGGGGCTCTGCTGGCCCCAGAATCCAGCATGGGAACTGATGGGAGCCAGTAGCAGGTGCCAAATAAGCACAGTTGAAGTGGCTTGGTTTCTGAAACTAGTCCCAAAGATGACGACAGCACCTCCTTTGTCAGCCTTTTTGATTATGATGTCAGAGTTGTTTCTGAGGCTGTGGATGGCATTGTGCTCTGCACGGCTGAGGTTATGGGGAAAGTGATGCTGCTTTTCCACAATTTCAGCCCGTGCACGTCGGTGGAAGCACTCTATGTAGAAGTCCAGTCTGTTGTTTCGACCCTCAGGAGGAGTCCACCTAGAATCCTTCTTTTTGTAGTGTTGGTAGGAAGGTCTCTGTGGATTAGTATGTTGTTCAGAGGTGTGTTGGAAATATTCCTTGAGTCGGAGACGTCGAAAATAGGATTCTAGGTCACCACAGAACTGTATCATGTTTGTGGGGGTGGAGGGGCAGAAGGAGAGGCCCTGAGATAGGACAGATTCTTCTGCTGTGCTAAGAGTATAGTTGGATAGATTGACAATATTGCTGGGTGGGTTAAGGGAACCATTGCTGTGGCCTCTTTTGGCATGTAGTAGCTTAGACAGTTTAGTGTCCTTTTTCTTTTGTGAGAAGCAAAGTGTGTGTTGTAAACGGCTTGTCTAGTTTTTGTAAAGTTCAGCCACGAGGAACTTTGTGTGGAAGATTGTTTGTTTTTTTTATGAGAGTATCCAGTTTTGAGAGCTCATCCATCCCACCATCAACCTCAGCCTGGACCAGTCCACACAAGAGATCCACTTCCTGGACAGTACAGTGCTAATAAGCAATGGTCACATAAACACCACCCTATACCGGAAACCTACTGACCACTATTCCTACCTACATGCCTCCAGCTTTCACCCAGACCACACCACACGATCCATCGTCTACAGCCAAGCTCTACGATACAACCGCATTTGCTCCAACCCCTCAGACAGAGACAAACACCTACAAGATCTCTGTCAAGCATTCTTACAACTACAGTACCCACCTGCTGAAGTGAAGAAACTAATTGACAGAGCCAGAAGAGTACCCAGAAGTCACCTACTACAGGACAGGCCCAACAAAGATAATAACAAAACGCCACTAGCCATCACCTTCTGCCCCCAACTAAAACCTCTCCAACGCATCATCAAGGATCTACAATCTATCCTGAAAGACGACCCATCACTTTCACAAATCTTGGGAGACAGGCCAGTCCTTGCCTACAGACAGCCCCCCAACCTGAAGCAAATACGCACCAGCAACCACACACTACACAACAGAACCACTAACCCAGGAACCTATCCTTGCAACAAAGCCCGTTGCCAACTGTCCCCACATATTTATTCAGGGGACACCATCATAGTGCCTAATCACATCAGCCATACTATCAGAGGCTCGTTCACCTGCACATCCACCAATGTGATATACGCCATCATGTGCCAGCAATGCTCCTCTGCCATGTACATTGGTCAAACTGGACAGTCTCTACGGAAAAGAATAAATGGACACAAATCAGATGTCAAGAATTATAACATTCATAAACCAGTCGGAGAACACTTCACTTCAATCTCTCTGGTCACTCGATTACAGACCTAAAGGTCGCAATATTACAACAAAAAGACTTCAAAAACAGACTCCAATGAGAGTCTGCTGAATTGGAATTAATTTGCAAACTGGATACAATTAACTTAGGCTTGAATAAAGACTGGGAGTGGATGTGTCATTACATTACATTATTTCCCCATGTTTATTCCCCCACCCCCACCGCTCCTTAGACGTTCCTGTTAACTGCTGGCAATGGCCCACCTTGATTATTACTGCAAAAGGTTTTCTCCCCCTCTCCCCACCCCCCCACCCCCAGCTCTCCTGCTGGTAATAGCTCATCTTAAGTGATTACTCTCCTTACCATGTGTATGATAACACCCATTTTTTCATGTTCTGTGTGTATATAAATCTCCTCACTGTATTTTCCACTGAATGCATCCGATGAAGTGAGCTGTAGCTCACGAAAGCTTATGCTCAAATAAATTGGTTAATCTCTAAGGTGCCACTAGTACTCCTTTTCTTTTTTTATCTTCTAAGGAATTGAGGATTGGCAAAGTAAGCACCCTGTTGTTTTGATTTTTCTTAGTGAGAGCTTTAGCGGAGGAGTCAGAGCCCTCAGGTTTTCCTCACCTGAATCTCCAGCCCTTATTAACCTTACTGATGAACTTATTTATAACTTTATATATATAATATTTATAACTTATTTGAAAACCTGGAGTTGAGGTACGGAGTCAGAGTCCCTGGGAGATGAGTCAGGTAAAGGAGGAGGTGTCTCTGGAGGCTTTCTTAACTCTAATGGGAGCCTTTTTTCTGGGTGAGGTGGTGAGAAGAACAGACCATTTTGAGGAGTTACTCAATTTCTAGGTAGGAGGCCTATTCCCAGGAGTCTCCAGGATGGCTGCAAGAAGATTGGCTGAGCAGAAGAACCAGGAATGAGGGCTCTCTAACAGCTTAATGTGACCATGTTAGCAGCATCTCATTGAGGAACATGAGTCCCTAGGCAGACAAACATCAGGGAAGGGAACATTCCTGAGAGGCTGGGGCTTACTGGTATTTAGAGCAGCATAGTCAGATTTGGCTTCGCCAATAGAGTGATGGGGTAGTGGGTTCTTCATCTAAAATGTCCTTGAGGTTGGGTTCAGCCACATCACTAATCCCTGTGGTCAGGGTCTGGAATTGCCACTGGGGGATGGAAAGGAAGGAGGAAGCAGAACAGTAAAAAGGAGGATTTCATCTAAAATCTCACGGGTTAGCAGCCCAAATCCTCAAGCTCTGAGCAAAGCTGTTGTGAAATTGTTCATTGTAGCACAAAAGCAACAAGACTGATGCTGTAATACTGTTCTGGGTTTACATATGATGATCTTGGAAGGTGCTAAAATCTTGAGCCTATTACTAGCTTTTTTGGGATTGGCTAAAGCACCAGTCTCTAGGCTAAGGAATTCCTGCTGCATGTGAGAACGGGGAATGCTTCTGAGGTTTGGACTGCTGACTGCTGTCTTTGTTCATTACAACTTCACAAACTAAAAATAATCAACCTAAAGAAATTTAAATCTGATACTGTTTTCATATAATCTAGGTTAAATGATATGTGGACGATTGGCCTGCAGGACAGAGAGCTAACATGCTGGGAAGAGGTAAGCCCTGAATCACAACAATACAGCACTTCCTCTTGGTGTTTTTACATAATTTTGTGTTTTCTATTTCAGATTGCACTGTTGTTTCCTCAGAGTGTAATTTCATAATTTTCATATTCAGAAAATATCATATTGCCTCTATAAATTCATGGTACGCCCACATCTTGGTTGCCCCATCTCAAAAAAGAGATATATTGGAATTGGAAAAGGTTCAGAAAAGGGCAATAAAAATTATTCGGGGTATGGAACGGCTTCCATATGAGGAGAGATTAATAAGACTGGAACTTTTCAGCTTGGAAAAAAGATGATGAAGGGGGGATATGATAGAGGTTTATAAAATCATGACCTGTGTGGAGAAAGTAAATCAGGAAGTGTTGTTTACTCCTTCTCATAACACAAGAACTAGGGGTCACCCTCTGAAATTAATAGGCAGCAGGTTTAAAACTAACAAAAGGAAGTATTTTTTCATACAACGCACAGTCAGTCTGTGAAACTCTTTGCCAGAGGATGTTGTGAAGGCCAAGACTATAAAAGGGTTCAAAAAAGAACTAGGTAAGTTCATGGAGGATAGGTCCACCAATGGCTGTTAGCCAGGATGGGAAGGGATGGTGTCCCTAGCCTCTCTTTGCCAGAAGTTGGGAATGGGCGAGAGGGGATGGATCACTTGATGATTGCCTGTTCTGTTCATTCCGTCTAGGGCACCTGGCATTGGCCACTGTCGGAAGATAGGATACTGGGCTAGATGGACCTTTGGTCTGACCCAGTATGGCCGCTCTTATGTTCTTATACATATTTAGCAGGAAACTGACTATTTCTTTGTTTCCACTGTGTGCAGATTTGATTTCAGCTTCAGTTTTTCCTTTCAGTTGGGAAAACCAAGTATGGTTTGAACCTTTGTGTACATTTCATAGATACTGAAGGCCAGGAGGGACCTTTATGATCATCTAGTCTGATCACCTGTATAGCCCAGACCAGAGTGTTTCACCCAGTGAGTCCTGCATCCAGCTCATAACTTCTGGTTGAGCCTAGAGCAGATTTTCTCAAAGATATGCAGGAATCACTTGGTGAAATTCTCTGGCCTGTGCTGTGACACCCAGTCCTGTCCTAGTTTTAAAACTTCAGGTGATGAAGAATCCATAGCATCTGTAGATGTATTGTTCCAATGGTTAATTGTTATTACTAGTAAAAATATACGTCTTCTTTTTAGCCTGAATTTGTCTAGATTTAGCTTCCAGCTGTTGGATCTTGTTATGCTTTTGTCTGTTAGATTACAGCCCTTCTTTCCATGTGGATATTTATAGACTGTGATCAAGTCACCTCTTAATCTTTTCTTGGATAAAGTAAATAAACTGAACTCCTGTAATATCTAACTCTAAGGCGGTTTTCCAGACCTCTACTCATTCTTGTAGTATTTTCTGACCCCAGGTAAATTTGTCAGCCTCTTTTTTTTTTTTTTTTTTTTTTAAGTGAGGACACCAGAACTGGACAACAAATCCTTGGAATGCTGGGAAAGTTCAAGAGGATTAGTATCTAAAGGTGTAAAGAGTATGGCCTAGGTAACTATAGGCCACTTAGCTTGACATTGATCCTGGGTCAAATAATGGAAAAGCTGATAGAAGATGCAGTCGCTAAAGATTTAAAGGATGGCAGTGTAATTCATGCCAATCCACATGGTTTGATGGAAATTAAGTTGTGTCAAACAAACTTGATTTTTTGATGAGATTACGAGTTTCATTGTCAAAGGCAGTTTTACTGACATATTTAGATTTCTGTAAGGGAAGTGACTTTGTACTACTCCATATTCTGATTTTTAAAAAATAGCAATATGCAAAATGAAGAAAGCACACTAGATGGGTTAAGTACTGGCTGACTGGTAGACCTCACAAAGTAATTGTAAATGGAGAATCAGCATTCTGTGCTGGCATTTCTAGTGGAGTTCCCTAAGAATCTCTTCTTGGCTTAATGCAATTCAATATCTTTATCAATGACTGTAACGGTCCTCTCTTGGGGAGCGTGGCCTAGTGGTCACGGCTGCAACTCCTGACTGCCAAGGGGGTTTGTGGGACTTCCTGAATGGCAAACAGGAAATGGAATCAGTTGATCCCAATGATGCAGGTCTTCAGGCATAAAACTTCTTAGCATCTGCTTCAGCGTTCAGTTGAAGTATTCAGCCAGGCCATCCCTTTGCAGGTGATAAGCTGACACAGACTTGTTTCATCAAGCGGGACTTGAAGTTCGTACCTTGGTCGGTGACCATCTCCTTAGGAACGCCTACTTAAGCAAGGACTTTCAGTAGTTCCATGGCAATAGTCTTTGCATTGGTATTATGTAGGTTGGATTGCCTCAGGATAGTGAGTTGCATAATTGACTCACCAATAGGTGTTTGTATCCAGCGGCACTTTTTTCCAGGGTGCTGACAAGGTCTATACCAATGTGTTTGAAGGGGACATTGATGACCCGGAGTGGGATGAGGGGGGCTTTCACCCCACCTTTTGGCCCAACTAGCTGGCATTCAGGGAAGGAGTTGCAGAAGTTTTTAACTTCTTGATGTACACCAAGTCAGAAGAAGCGGTCTAAGATCCGGGCCAAAGTTTTCTCTTGTCCAAGATGGCCTGCAGAGGGGATAGCATGGTACAGTCGCATGACTTCTCATCAATGCGACTGAGGGATGAGGAGTTGTGACTGAATTTCCCCTATCCAATGGTCTTTGAGTGTATTACGCAGCCTGGTGGGGATCTGCGACCTCACTTTGAACCACTGGGAGTTGTTCATATGCATGGCTCAAGGTCTCATCTTCCCTCTGGTCCTTCACGAAATCAGTCTCTCGGGTCAGTAAGTCCCCTTCCTAGAGTGGGGTTTGTAATGTCTCCTCATTAGGAGGATCTTCCGGCAGCACTTCCTTTTGGCTGGACCCCCCTTCCCCGCCCTGGGGTCCTGCTCCTAATATACTCCAGCCTGTGTGACGGGCTGGGGTTCCCTGCCTACTCTGGTTCCCTCAGGCGCTTCCTCCAGGTTCCCAGGAGCAGGTCTACATCCCCTCAATATGTCGGAGAAGTGTTCCCAATTCTGACCGAAGATTATGTGGAAGGCTAGGGTTGGGGCTAGCCCTACTATGAGGGGGCTTATTGTTCTCCCCTGTGGTGACCTCGACCCAGGCACTGGGATAGGGTTTAATATCCCCATGAATGCACTTCAGGGAGATGGTCTCCCTGGGGGCTTCAGGGTAGGGGACCAAGTCATCCCGGACCAGAGTTTGCCCACACCCAGAGTCTACGAGACCTACTACCTCAGTCCCATTTATTTGTACAAGAACTGTTACCTTTGCTGGGGTGTGCTTCCAGGCATGACTCTCTGCCATCATACTTGCCCAGAGCTGCACCCCATATAGGGGCATTCCTGATAATGCTAGCCCTGACGCCCACAGGAGAAACAGGCCCCCATGGTTAGCCCCAGGACTGCTGGTTGGGAACTGGGCCTCTGGGGATGTCTTCCCCCAGATGCTTGGCCCCCTCATCCTTCCTGGCTTTTGAGTGGGGAAGTCCCTTGGGGACCCCAGGCTTTATGTTCGGGCTGAGGTTGGAGGACCTGGGGTTTCTCCTGCGCTTGAGGGCTGGCTGGGCCCCTGATAGGCTGGGACACTCTGTGTAGCTTCTGACTTCCCTGGTTGGCTTCCCCCTTCTGTCGAGGGGTATTTCTGGCATCAAGCAATGGCTCAGATGCGGGAGTTAGAGCTCTCTCAGCTGCTGGATAGTTTTCCGTCAATCACACAGCTTCGGTAAGTGACTCTGGTCGATGTCTGAGCACCCAGTCCCCCTGCCCCTCTTTGGGAGGATTTGGTCAAACTGCTCCACCAGGATGAGTTCAGCCACCTCTACTCCGGGCCGCCCTTCTGATTTTAGCCATCTCCAACATAGATCTCACAGTTTCTGTGTGACAACCCGGGGTTGAGCCCCTGGAGGGTACCTCTCCCTGTGGAACGTCTGGCGGAAGGTTATGTTGAGGTAGTCCAATATGGCCGCTCTGACCTGAGGATAGTCTTGGGTGGTCTCTGCATCCAGTCCTTGGTATACGGCCCGTGCTGGTCAGGGGGCCATCGGACCGCCGTCACCACCTGCTCAAATGTCACCAGAAAAGCCTCAGGGTCATTCTCAGGGCCCATTTTTGTGAGCTTCGTGGGTACTGGTGGGGCTCCAGGGTTTGGTTCCAGGCCCCCCAAGGGAGAAGCTCTGGGGGACACTTGGGGCTTCATTAATGCCACGACTTGTTGAATTAACCTTTGCTGCTGTTCCTGTTTCTGGGACCCTAAGTCCTGAACCAGTTGCTGGGCGGCCATTTGCTGCAGGAGCTGTTGCTTTTGATGCTGTTGTGCTGCCTACTGCTGCTGGTTCTCAGTCATCCATTTCAGCAACTGTTCTGACTCCATCTCTGCTGGCGTACCAGCCAACGTTATTCTACGTCGGGCAGTTTGGCCGCCTTGGTCAGTCAGTTTGTCCTTCTCTCAGGGTGGGGTGTTTCCCACATTCTCCACCAATTTGTAATGGACCTCTCTTGGGGAGTATGGCCTAGTGATCACAGTGCCACTCCTGACTACCAAGGGGGTTGTGGGGAGGGGAGCCTGGGTCCTCCCGCTCCACTGGGCTCCTACCCAGAGCCCTTTGGGCTACCAGTAGTCTGGTAATCAAGGCTGCTTAAGACTGTTCTCCCTGGGCTTCTTCCTCTCGTTCACCCCCTCGGGGTCAGTTTAGTCCCAGGCTTTCCCATGGTGGGGAAACCCAAACCAGAATAAGTGAAGGGGGTTACCAAAGTCCAAGGTCCAGAGGATACTTCCCTCGCTGGTTGGACTTTGGAGTGGGTCCTCTCTTCCCTCAGGGAGCGCCCTTTTGGGCAGCTGGATCAGAGACGTAGGATTCCCTCTGCTCTGCTCTGCAGGAGCTGTGGGCTGCAGATCTGCTCACCTCCAGTTCTGCCACCCAAATGAGCTAATTCCCTGCCTTTTAATT